GAGAGAGAGAGAAAGAGAGCGAATGATAAAGGTGGTGGAGGGGTGGGAGCGAGAGAGGTTTGAGCAACAGACCAACATCCCGGCACACGGGTGTAATCCATAAGTGCTCCTTTCTACGTCTAACTCAAGCCTGAGTTTGAAGCGGCTCAGCGCAGTGCACGAACTTTGTTGCACCGGCGAGGATCATGAAAGACTTTTGCTAGATTTTAAATTAACAATTTTTCCCGGGCAGCGCCGTTAGGCTACTCTTTTCGATTTCCGACTGTCCAGGGATTTTTGTACGTACGCAACGCTACACACTGGCGTCCGACCTCACTACCCAAAAAAATTACCAAAAGTCCACGTGAAAAAAAATCCCGGCCTTCACCGGGGCCTAAACCCGGGACCACCAGCTCTCGAAGCGGACGCCATGCCCCGCGACCACACAGATCCCCTAGCCAGAGAGAATGAGGGAGTGACATCCTGACGCATCTCACGTCGCCTGGTCATCTGGTCCAGTAGATAAGGTTAGAAGAATACCAAGTGGACAGTGCTCGATTTGCTCGAGACAGAAGCGTATCTGTATGTGTGTGGGTGATGTTTGCAGAGAAAGATAGAGATAAAGATAGATAGATAGAGAGAGAGAGAGAGAGAGAGAGAGAGATAGAGAGAGATAGAGAGAGAGAGAGAGAGAGAGAGAGAGAGAGAGATCATGACATATCTCCTTTTTCGTTATCATCTGACTTACTGAATTACCGTAAGTACGGAAAGATAAACCAGCTATGTGTGTGTGCGTGAGAGAGAGAGAGAGAGAGGAGAGGAGACAAAAGAGAACATAGCACACATATTGCAACGTGGATGAAGTACACATGGGAAGGGGGGGGAACTAGCAAAATATATATGTGTGTGTGCGTGTCTGGCAGAGGGATGGAAATATATTTGGCCTTCCTCCCCATTTCCTAGTAACCTGTTCCTGTTGGTAAGGTACTGTAGTCTTGAAATTGTTCCAAACGAGAGAGAGAGAGAGAGAGAGAGAGAGAGCTCCCATGATCCCTACTATAGGGATTCCCCTATTCCTCTGAAGGCAGCCCCTTTGGTGTCTTCACCCCCCCCCCTCCACAAACACACGGCGCATGCGCCACACCACAGGGAACGGGGGGCGTGGCAGGTTAAACTCCAGGCTCGGATTGAGGGGAGAAAGGTCAGAGGTGAAGGGTTATCAGCGCTGGGAACAGCTCCAGCTTTGGGCCGTGTGGTGTTGAATTGCCCCCGACTCTCCCTCCCGACCCATCCACTCCCCCGTGTGCTTTTTGTCAAGTATGAGGTTGTGGATTTTGAGGCACAGGAGTGGTGGTTGTAGCTGTGGAGGGAGGGAGGGATGGGAGGCCCTCATAGGTCCGGGATGTTGACAAGTGGTAGGTCCTTCAGCAAAATCCTTCCTACACATTTGTGTCTGTTTTGTGTGGTTGTTATAGAAAGTTTGATAGTGACACTTTAGCGAAACACGACTGCAACATAAACCAACAGAGACAGGGGTACGTTTATATGTAAAGTATTATATATTGTAAAGTCATATTTTGTTGTAAGTTCCGTTACGTTATACTCGCTGTGTGGGTTCCAGGGTCCCTTGTCGGAAAAGGGGGGGGGGGGGTGTTGATTCATTGCGTCACAACACGCATGTGATAAAAGTAGTTTGCTGAAATCGCACGTATAAGGCCCCAGTGCACAACTATCGAAACCTAACTGTAAAACACACCACAGTTTTCCAACCGCTTTTTTTTCCGAGAGCGACTGACTGACTGACTTTCTACCCTACCAGGATATCACACAAGCGATAAACACCCGATGACACAGAGTGCCACCATGTGGATGAGGATCGCCGTGGAGAGGTCCCAGAAACCGTGTTCAGACAATTGGCCATATCTATGGCCTGCCTATATTGCGGCCCCTGGCAAAAGCCAGAGTGGGGCTTCAAATAACAAAAAATTTAGTCCTAAAAAGGACGAAACACCTATTATAGGTACACTATGAGTAAATGTCGCGTTAAACATTTCGAGAGCGACAGGAGACTTTTTTTTTTATACATCAGTTTCTACACCAGTGAGTTGCAGTGGCAAAGTCATAGCTAGGGTTTTGTTTTCCTAGAGAAAAAAGATTTTAAAAAAGTGCCAGCAGAAAGGTGCTGGCACTGACCACAGAGTGTCTCCGAAAATGGTGCTGGTACCATTGTGAGCTTTTTTGACCAAAATATTCACAGGATTGTCCTTAAACGCTTATTGCAAAAAGTCTGTATGTGTTTCCTGCTGTCTTCGGGGGGGGGGGGGGGGGGGGTGGGGTAAATTAAATGATATAGCTGATGCTTATGTGAATGACATCATTCTTGAATATATATGATATCACAGAGCCTTCTTTTGTAAGTGATATCACATACCCTTATGTAAAATGAAAACAAGAATTCAATTATGAAAATTATTGATATCTTGAACCCTTATTTAACATCACAGACCATCTGTGTAAATGACCCTTATGTAAAACTATATCAATACCTTTAGGTAAATTACTGAAATCTTGGACCCTTATTTATTATTTAACATCACAGTCCCTTTTGTAAATGGTATAATGGGCCCTTATGTAAATGCTATAACTGACCATTATGTAAATGATATCACTGACCCTAATATAAATGATACACTGACCCTTTAAATTTGTTTCGTTGACCACCAGATGGGAAACAGGGGTCTAAACTTTTCGCTGTAGAAACTTCTAAAATTATTTTGCTTCAGATAGGAATTCAAACCAGGCCCTCTCGCAAGCAAGGCGAACACGACAAATGACTATACTACTAAACTGTGTTTTTACTTCCCTTATGGGCCCCAGAAACAGATTAGTGAAGAGGTAGTGTAATGGTTAGGGTTAATTTAAGAGCTTGAATAACAGAACAGAGGACAGTCATGTGAGGAAGTTAAAAAGAAAGTGAACATAAGGTCGTGTGATTTGAAGTGTAATTCACTACACCAGTGTTGGTGACTGATGCAAGGTGGTGCTTGAAAAACTCAGGCATACAGTTCTTCTTCTCTTCCACCTTGTACCTCATCGAAGTGTCGGGGGTTGGGGGGGGGGGGAGATGTAATGTTCGTTAATGGGCTCTGTCAAGAGCACTATTAAGACTGATGTTCAGTTCTGTAAGGCTGTTCTTAATGCCATCACTCCATCTTTTCCTAGGTCTTCCACTCGCTCTATACCCATAGGCATACAGTTACAGCAGAATAAGTCTGTTGTAAAAGTTTGCATACAGTTACAGAAGCATAAGTCTGTTGTAAAAGTTCGCATACAGTTACAGAAGCATAAGTCTGTTGTAAAAGTTTGCATACAGTTACAGAAGCATAAGTCTGTTGTAAAAGTTCGCATACAGTTACAGAAGCATAAGTCTGTTGTAAAAGTTCAAACATAAATTTTGGCAGTTTGGAGAAATGCAACAAATCAAATGGTTTGGGCATATAAGAAGATTGGCATCAGACAGGGCACCTCAGAGAGCAATGTTATACAGATACAGCTGTAACAGAGCCAGAGATAGACCACGCAGAAGATGGACCCCAAAAATATCAGAGACACTGAAAAGTACTTTATACAAAGTGCACAGAAAGGCCCGTTGCAAAGATCTCTTCCTGCCCTGACGCTGCGAGGCATTCCAGGAGTAGAGAAAAGAAGAAGAAGAAATGAAAATAAAAGCCAATTCGGGATGAAAAAAAAAAAAAAATCAGTAATTTTAGTGTAAAACTCTGAGGGAAAAGATGAAGGAATTAGGGAGTGTAGATAATAAATACTGTTGTAAGACACAGAACAGTGAGGCTGAAAAGTAAAATATGCTCCCAGAAAATGTGGATTCATTGAAGTTATTTTATGGAAATAAATACTTCTAAATACAAAATTCATAGGAAAGTCAACCCTGATAACAAATGCCTGAAGTTGGATTTGTTGGCTGAAATTTGAATGTTGAATTAGGAATCGACATCATAGCACTAGGACACCCCCATAAGTGGTCCTTCCCCATCTCCAGCAGCAAGCAAAGAGTTACAATTCTGATGGTACCAGTAACTGTCTGATAAGGATTTATTGGCTGAAAGGCACAAATGTGGCAACTAGACTGTAAATAAGCACAACATAATTATAAGTTCTTGGATAAACAAAGAAGCAGAGGTACAGAAGTCCTATCAGGCTGGGAATGAGTTTTGAAGTTTTGAACAATGGGTCAACATCATGGCACACAGGCAACAGTGCTCCGTTCTTTGTCTAAATCAAGTCTGTGTCCGAAGAAGCTAAGCACAGTGCACAAGTCCACATGAAAAAATCCAGAGGTTCCTTGTGCATTGTTGCGGACGTAAAAACCCCCTTGGCAGTTGGAAATCGAAAAGAGTAGCTTAAGGGCACTGCCCCAGCAAGATATGGAGATTTAAAAATTCTGGTATTTTCCACAGTATATATATATAAAAGCCACTAAAATGGATTACATTTTACAGTTGGATCAAGTGATAGAGATCGTTGGAGATCCATTGCAGCCAAACTTGAGTTTGTGATGATAGTCAAAACTGAATCTGTGAAGATAGCGCACTCTTATATGATGATCAGAATATCTGTGGAATACACATAGAAGAAATATGGATCAAATCAAAAGTGGCTTACAGGTTTAAAGTCAGTGGATAAATTCCATAACATTGGGTTTTATCCCACAGGGCTCAGTCTCTCTCTGCAGAACAGCTAGACACCATCCAAGAAAAAAAAAACATTAACTCTTTATGTTAGCTACAATCTCATAGGACCTCTCTAAAAATTGCATATCTGAACCAAATAATGCATGCCTGTGAAATACCCAAAACCTTCAATGTGTTAGGCTAACAGATTAACCATTTAGCCACGTTTCTCCAACAAGAAAGACAGAAATTATTCTTGAATTTGTTATCCCTATTTCACGTTTATTTGTGTGTTTCCAGATTTTTGCTGTGCAGAAAGTAATATTATTAAAGATGGCGGCAGTGCAACCGTCAAACAACTCTGAGCTTCAGCTTTATCGTGTTTTGCAACGAGCAAATTTACTTCAATATTTTGAAACCTTCATCACTCAAGGTAATTCTCTCCATTTATTTTCATTCGTGTAGAGGACATGAAGCCTTGTTGTTGTGTATGTGGCATGCATACCAGAGACTGATATCAAGAAGCAAGTGGGGACAACTCTTAATTAAACGTACTGCAAGTCTGATGTCTGACTCTAGTAATCCTCTAGTAACAGGGTTACTGAAAAACATTTCCTGTGTCGGCACTTAAACACAGGGTGCTCCATAAGGAGGTATAGATGACCAATGAGAATGGAAGTTTACTACATAGTCCTCTTGCTTTAGCCTCTGCATCCTAATTATTTGACATGTTACAATGAGAGAGAGCGAGCGAGCGAGAGAGACTCAAAAGGAACTCTAAGAAAGAGAAATAGAGGAACGGGAAGAAGGGGAGGGATCGGACATAGAAAAAAGTATGAGAGAGGTAGAGATCTGGACAGAAGAGAAGGTGTAGAAAAAAAAAAAAAGAGAGGAAATTGGACTAGATAGGTGTTGGTTGGTTTGAATGAAGGGAGGGGAAAGAAAGAGATGACAGGGAGGGGGAGGAAGAGAAAGGAGAGAGGGAGTAAGCATTTCAAGTATATTTTTGTATGGATTTGCATCTTGTGGGTTCCATTCATATAATTCTGTATAGTGTCCTTGTATTTTGTGTACATTATTCTTTTTTTTTTTTTAATTGTTCCCACCGGGGTCAAATCCTGACACATCGACACCCAGAGACTCAAGATCTGCTGTTTGGAGGCAGTTGATCAGAAGCAAATTCCAGAAACGCTGTTGAACTGTATACAACTTGCATGATGGCATTCTCTGTACAGTTACAAATAATCAAAAGAAAAATCTTAACCGCAGAAATAAAATGTCCGTGGCGAAACTTAAATGTAACTAGAAGAGACAGGCTACAAAAAATGATGGAAGAAATTGGGACAGAACCAGAACTAAACTACACCAAGAAACAACAGATCAAATGGTTCAGTCATGTGTCAAAACCACTATCAAGGCAGTGCACCTCAGAGAGCCCTGTCACTCAGACATAATGGAAGCAGACCTAGGGGTCGGCCAGGCAAGTGAAGGATGGATGGGATATCTTAGGCCGTAAATACCAGCATCCAGGTAACACACACTAGGCTCTCAACTGATGCCTCTTCAAAACCTGATGCCGAAATTTAGGCAGTGCAGGACTAGAAAAGAAAAGAAGACAGTTAAGAAGTTACCTGTTGTCTAATATAATGAGTGATGATTAGCCCTAACTAGCATGCCATCATTATGCATTATCTCCCTTTTAGTTCTTTTCATTTTTTTCTGTATTGATTAAAGGAGCTGCGTGGTCTCAAGGCATGGTGTCTGCTAGAGGTTCCGGGTTCAATTCCCGGTAACAGCTGGGAGTTTTTTACAACTTGGACTTCTAGTAATTCCTCCTGGTCTCTGGGTAGTGGGATTGGTTGCCAGTGTGCATTGCTGCGCACGTACAAAATTCTTTGGCAGTTGGAAATAGAAAAAGAGTAGCCTAACCGCACTGCCCGGACAAAATTTGAAGTTAAAAATCTACCCAAAGTATTTCAGGATCCTTGCCGGTGCTACAGAGCCTGTGCACTGTGCTGAGCTTCTTCGGACTTAAACTTGAGTTAGAAGAAGAACGGAGCACTTATGGGTTACTACACTTGTGCCATAATGTTGATCCGTTGTTCAAACATTAAACTTCTGTATGCCGGTGCTACAGAGCCTGTGCACTGTGCTGAGCTTCTTCGGACTTAAACTTGAGTTAGAAGAAGAACGGAGCACTTTTGGGTTACTACACTTGTGCCATAATGTTGATCCGTTGTTCAAACATCAAACTTCTGTATTGATTATTTCGCTGTGGTTTCAGGAAGACTAACCCAGATTTTTTTAAAATGCCTGAAGAAGTCAGATGTGTCTTCCAAAAGGCACAAATACTGCAGCCGTGCTGTAAATGGGCATAGTGCAGTCATGTCTTCAGGTGAATGCAGAAGAACAAGAAGATATTGCTGTGGTTTCAGTCGATGTCTTTCTGTCTGACTGACTGACTTTCTACCCCACCAGGACATCACACAAGCGACAAACACCTGATGACACAAAGTGCCACCATGCGGATGAGGATCACCGTGGAGAGGTCCCAGAAACCGCGTTCAGACAATTGGCCATATTGATGGCCTGCCTATATTGCGGCCCCTGGCAAAGCCAGAGTGGGGCTTCAAATAACAAAAAATTACGTCCTAAGAAGGACGTAAAGAATATAATGTCTTTCTGTATTGCGTCCATGTATTTCAGTATAAATTGTCTTTCTGTGGACTTTATGGATGAACATGCAAATACATTCCATGAACCAGGTGGGGATGATGTGCAGCAGCTGTGTGAGGCTGGGGAAGATGAGTTTCTAGAGATTATGGCGCTGGTGGGGATGGCGAGCAAGCCTCTTCATGTCAGGAGGCTCCAGAAGGCTCTTCAGGAGTGGGTGGCAAACCCATCAGCATTTGAAGGTAAGGGGAACAACTCTTCTTGAGCTTGAAGCTAGGGGACATTTTGACCCCCCCCCCCCCCTTTTCCCCTCCCCCTCCTAACCCTGTTTTTCTCAGTTTATTTCCCAAAGTCAGATTATTTGACACTTATCTTGGGTTTAAATTCACATAGAGTGTGGGTTCCGGGGCCCTATTGTGAGGAAAACAAGAATAGACCCACTGCCTCCCCAAAAGCATGTCGTAAGAGTCGACTAACTGGGGAGCTTCCTTTGAAGTCGGAGTGCATCTGCCTGAGAGGCAAGGAACCAGCAGTCTACATTCAATTGAATCAGATCTGTAAAACTGATGCACACGCAACACTCAGGTTCTGGAGTAGGACTCCAGTCCAGAAGTGGACGAACAACCAGAACTTTACGCCAGAGTGTACAGCTGGTGAACGCGAAGAAGAAGAAGACATAGAGTAAAACACTTAAAAAAAAAAAACTTACCTTATCTCATTGGCTGACCCAACCTTAAATGGGTGCTAGGGAATGTCCTTGGAAGAAAAATCAACTGGCATGATGACCCACCATGTCATATGCCCCATGTACCACAGGTTAAAAAACAAAAAAGTCGTTTGCTTTTTACTTATTCAATACTTACTTTTGCAGTTTGTTATAATTTTATTATTTAGATATGTAGTCTTTGTAAACTACTAAATTTAGCATTTCATTGTTTAATTCGGGAACAGCAAAAAAAAAAAAAATGCTTGGGAAAACTCTGCAACATCCTGTAAATGTTATTAAAAAAATTTTTTTGGGGGTAATCTTTGTATTTTATTATTTTTCACTTGTAATGTGCTGCTAGTTTGAATTCAACTATTTGAGTCCCAAGGGACGCATCTTACATTCATAGGTTCCTACCTTCTTAGAAGCCCAATGAACGCATGATGCGCCAATTTTATTACTTTCTTTACTACTCCTTGGGCCTGTGACACACTGGGACACAAAGAGATATGTTTAGTCAACCTGTTCTTTTGTATGAAAGTGACTATTTGAATATTACCTAACTGGGGATAAGTTGTTTTCTTAGAGACTTTATAAAAAAAACTTTTTGCACTATGGCTATAAAATACCTCTCAACAATTTTAAAATAGGTTAACAATCTTTAAAGCTTTTTATTGTCTATTTACAATGTTTTTATTACCCTTTTAAAACCCCTGTATCAGTGCCTGAGCATTCGTATTAGTTTGAACAACAGATCAACATCATGCCACACGGGTAGTAACCCATAAGTGCTCAGTTTTTCTTCTAACTCAAGTCAGAGTCCCAAGAAGCTCAGCGCAGTGCACAGGCTTTGTAGCACCAGCGAGGATCCTGAAATACTTTTGGATAGATTTTAAACTCTAAATTTTGCCCGGGCATCGCCGTTAGGTTACTCTTTTCGATTTCCAACTGCCACGATATTTTTTTACGTGTGCAACAATGCACACGGGCGTCCGATCTCACTACCCAGAGACCAGGGAGATTTACTAGAAGTCCAAGTCCACGTGAAAAATCCCACCTCTTACCGGGGATTGAGCCCGGAACCTCTAGTACTCGAGGTGTACACCATACCTTGAGACCACCAGTCCTCGATTGGTATTATAGAAGTCGCTACTACCTTTTCTCTGCTTACTCTGTATGTCTGGCAGTGTATACAAAACCTGACATCCCACACTGTGCCGATAAGAGGAAATACAGCCAGAAAAATGTATGTTACAGCAGGGCAGACTGAGCATTGGTTTGCAGCTGGTTGGGTGATGGCGGGAGCTCCGACGGCTGGGCAGACAAAGCACTGCTAATTTCTTCTTTGTGTTCACTGGTTGTAAACTTCGGCAGAAAGTTCTGGTTGTTTGTCCAGTCCTAGTTTTGCGTTAAAAAATTTAAGTGTGCACATCTGGTTTTCAGATTTGACTGATTTGTATGCAGACAGCTGGTTCCATGTCTCTCAGTTAGATACACACCTACTTTAAAGGATGCCCTAATTTAGTTGACTCTTAACCCTACCAGACCTGAGGCCCTGAACCTAACTGCCCCCTTTACCTGAGCTCCTGGGCATTAACAAGAAGAAACCAACATGATATACACAAATATTAGTTACATGCAAACGAGTGGCTAGAATAAGATGAAACTTGGTGACATTGTAGAAAATAGGTTTACCTTTCATCTAGCGCCAATATTCCACCTTTTTGTGCCAATCTACCAAGCAGGATCAGCCTTGTTTCACAAAGTGAGCACCAGATGTTGCTGTTTTAGGGACACACCCCCTTCTCTTACTATTGATTTAATTTCAAATCTATAATTTTCAAGATTCTTCTCATGACTCGAGCTCTCATTGACAGTGTCACTTCAACTGAGAACGTATTCTTTATGAAATTCTGGCTCCTCAGAGTTGTAATAAACCATAGTATCGATCACCTGTTGGACAGTGAAAAGCCTAGACCTACTTTACTTTCCTTTAGAAGTGCTTGGTTCATCAGCTGCTCCTTTCATTGTGAATTTTCAGAATTTGTTTACGTTAAACCACACAAAGTAAATCCAAACACACGTTGGCAGCAATTCGCAATGACTAACCACGAGGTTTGATCACGATTAGCTGGCTATTTTAAGTTTGAGACGTTTTTTATCATGTAGTACGCAAAGTACCAAAAATTAGGTACAGCGGTTTAGCCGCAGATTAGGAAATTACAGGAAAAGCGGTACAGCGGTCTGGTAAAGTTAAGACATGTTTTTTTTTTTTGGGTGGCAGTGGGTCCGTTTCCTGTTTTCCCCACAATGGGGCCCTGGAACCTGCTCAGGGAACTTCTCCTTTGATCTGGCAGCATCTTCAGCATGCTTTGTTCTAAATGTCATACCTTTCCTTCCTTGTGAGTAAATATTCAGGCTAAGAGAGGGATCTTGTTAGTGGGCAACATGTCTCGAATACTGTCCAGGTTTTGTGCCATGAAGAGGAGCAACAACCTCCTTTGCCTTGACTATTTCGACAGTTAAATGAGTTATAAATCAATTCAGTTTGCATTCTTTGGTTCTGTCAGAGACCTTTTTTCTTTCACCGCCGGTGGAACTATATTTAACAGTATCAAGTGTAGACATTGGGAAAAACACATTTAAGAAGTCGTTGACGTGGTGAATTGACTTTCTTAGCTATGGATAATTAACACACACACACACACAAAAAACCTAACCTGTCAGTCCCTACAAACCAAAGTGTCACTATCCATTCATTCCTCACTGACCTTCCTCTCACACATTCACCACCAAAGTCCCAAAAGTTCACCAGTGTGCAAACGTGCGTCTTTCAAAACAGCGCTGTAAAAACAGTTGTACACTAATAACTGGGTCCATGTTTGAAGAAGAAAAAAGAGCCAACAGACTGTTGTGTGATGAAAGAAAGATGCCAATAAATCTCTGTATTCTGTTATTTGAATTCATTTCATTGTCTGTGGCACACTTTACGTTAAGTTTTAGAACCCATCTCATAATACAGCCACATATTCACCTTCATCATTGCTGTTTTCAGTGGCTAAGAAATACCCAACACATGTCATGAGCATAACTGCTTCGTCAAATCACAACTTAAGCCCCTCCCACTCCTTAGAACGGTCAAGCAGTCTTCAGGACTACAAAGTGACCCCATCACAGTCGTCAACAATTTCTACCTCCACTCCATGGAGTTCACAGGCTAGAGATGCCAGCCCATCAGATGGCAGCAATTTGGATGACCCAAGCTCTTCAAATTCGCCTCCTGGTGACTTCAAAGACAACATCAAAGACATTCTGGTAATGCTTATGTATTATTTAACTTTACCTCTTTTATCTATGAATTAAAGTAAGTAAAGTAAAGATTCCTTATTACACCGTAGGCGCATCGGGTATATGGGCAGAGAGTCCCATATTTTTACAGACCAATAGGCACTGGATGGGTAATGTGGTCAGCATTACGCCGGCCACTTTACTTTCCCAGGACAGCCATCCTGTTACCCATTTTAGGCTGGGTCGACCTGCAACGCCCCATACCACGATAAAAATCCACGCAGCCAGCAGTGGGTTTCGATCGTGGTGCATTGGATCAATAGTCAGACTCGCAACACCTAAGCCACGGACGCCTTTACCTACGAATTCCAGAGATTTATTGCTATGGAGAGGAAAACTGTATTCCTGGCCTTATTTGGCTATGATTCTCATAATGTTACACAAAGGGTTACAACAGTTTTCTTAGTGCTCAGTCTATGAAGGCTCAGATAGCTGGGTCCCACCTGGATAGTGGAAGATGGCAGAGTCCCTAAGCACATTCGCTATGGTGCATTACAGATGGGTAGAAGATGTCGAGGCCGACCTCTACTACGATATAAAGATAAGTGCAAGCTGAACATGAATGATGCAGGTATTGAGGTGGACAAAATTGCATTGACTCTGATGCATGTAGAGAGCACATCAGGAAGGAAATGAGAGCGAAAAAAGAAATGATAGCAGAAGGAATAAGAGCTCAGCATCTGAAAAGAAACACACTAAATACAAATGTTGGCAACAATGGTCCTGAAATCCTATGCTATAATTGTGCAAGACTTGTCATAAAATAGGTAGGTCTTGCTAGTCAGTCACGCTCACCATCGCCATGAGCTGTGTGTCCCAGGCCTCATCATAGCGCAATATAACACTTGTCGGGAAAGACAGAAAGGTGCCAACAAAAACAACACTGCTATCTGAAGAATGAAAAAAATCAATGTCATCTTTAAAGAAATGTCTCCCGAAGAAAAAAATAGACAAGGATAATCAACTGTTATATCCTTAAAGCATAATAAATCCACTATTTTAATGAATTGGTGGTAATAAGATTATCTAAACATTCATAGTAAATATCTTATTCACAAACCAGAAAGGTGAAAACAAAGCAGCATTTGAAATAATCATAGAAATTACTTAGGTGTCCTAAATGAATAATTATATGATGTATGAAATAATACACACACACACGCACATATATATATACACATACACTTTGAGAACTCAATGGACACTTTATATCCCAGTTATACCTATGAAGCGTCAACATTATATTTTTGTGAAAATTACTACTGCTGATCAGGGTACCTAGTTACTTATCAACTTGCCAAGGACAAGTGAAGTCCAGTGAACCTCTGTATTCTGTTATTTGAATTGCTTCGTCAAGTGGCAGGTCTTTTGCAGATGTTACTCTCATCCCAGGCAACTGAAAAACTCACTCAGCCCCTCGCCAGTTTTTGCCCTTGTTTTTGCCCTCAACTCCACTCCTGTACTTGCTGGATTGACCAGGCATGCATTACCATACTGGTCCTTCATTTACGGATGAATTTTTTTTCAGGTTTCATCTTTTAACCGCTAGCATGAAAATTTTTTAGACTGCTGCTGCTCTTTGCTGCATGTCAAAATTGGGGCAGCCATCTTTAAACTGTCACCTTCTGGCCGACAGGTGGGCGTCTGGCCAAGACACCGCCACAGATCTCAAGCATATGGTTGTAGATCCCACCCCTCTTTATTAAATAGACTGGTGCTGACCACTTTTAATTTCTTGGGCAGCCACTTTAGCGCAGTCGATAGGAGGCTCGCTTTAAAATCCGGCTGCGACTCGCTGCAGCCATAGTCGGTGTTCGAAAACGGGCGGTTCCCGGGGTTCACCCAGCCTCTAGAAAATGGGTACTAAAGTGACACTCTGAGATAAATGGAGGTACGTCGCGGACGGCGACACAGGCGGACAGTTTCTTATCAGCTGTCCGTACTAGTGGCAGAGCACTTATGGTTGATAACCATGTGCAGTGAGGCTGGTTCACATCTCTCGACTTTACCTTTACCTTTTTTTTTAATTTTAATTCCTAGGAGTGGGTTTTTTTTTTCTAGAAAGAAAAGATGCCAGTACTCACCATAGAGAGTATAAAAAAGGTGCTAGTACTCACCATAGAGTGTATAAAAAAGGTGCTAGTACTCACCATAGAGTGTATAAAAAAGGTGCTAGTACTCACCATAGAGTGTATAAAAAAGGTGCCAGTACTCACCATAGAGTGTATAAAAAAGGTGCTAGTACTCACCATAGAGTGTATAAAAAAGGTGCTAGTACTCACCATAGAGTGTATAAAAAAGGTGCTAGTACTCACCATAGAGTGTATAAAAAAGGTGCCAGTACTCACCATAGAGTGTATAAAAAAAGTGCCAGTACTCACCATTAGTTAGTTAGGACCCTTTCCACACCGTTAGGCGTATAGGGCATATAGGGCTAGACCTATATTTTTATAGACCATCGGCACAAGATGGGTGATGTGATCAGCATCACACCGGTACTCACCATAGAGTGTATAAAAAAGGTGACAGCACTCACCATAGAGTGTATAAAAAAGGTGCTAGTACTCACCATAGAGTGTATAAAAAAGGTGCCAGTACTCACCATAGAGTGTATAAAAAAAGAGCCAGTACTCACCATAGAGTGAATTAAAAAAAAGGTACCAGTACTTACCATAGAGTGTATTAAAAAAAGGTGCTAGTACTCACCATAGAGTGTATAAAAAAAGGTACCACTACTCACCATAGAGTGTATAAAAAAAGGTGCCTGTACTCACCATAGAGTGTATTAAAAAAAGGTGCCAGTACTCACCATAGAGTGTATAAAAAAGGTGCCAGTACTCACCATAGAGTGAATTAAAAAAAAGGTGCCAGTACTCACCATAGAGTGTATATAGAAAAGGTGCTAGTAATCACCATAGAGTGTATAAAAAAAGGTGCCAGTACTCACCATAGAGTGTATAAAAAAAGGTGCCAGTACTCACCATAGAATGTATTAAAAAAGGTGCCAGTACTCACCATAGAGTGTGTTAAAAAAAGGTGCCAGTACTCACCATAGAGTGAATTAAAAAAAGGTACCAGTACTCACCATAGAGTGAATTAAAAAAAGGTGCCAGTACTCACCATAGAGTGTTAAAAAAAAGGTGCCAGTACTCACCATAGAGTGTATAAAAAAAAAGGTGCCAGTACTCACCATAGAGTATATTAAAAAAAGGTGCCAGTACTCACCATAGAGTGTATAAAAAAAGGTGCCAGTACTCACCATAGAGTGTATAAAAAAAAGGTGCCAGTACTCACCATAGAATGTATTAAAAAAGGTGCCAGTACTTACCATAGAGTGTGTTAAAAAAAGGTGCCAGTACTCACCATAGAGTGATTTAAAAAAAAGGTACCAGTACTCACCATAGAGTGAATTAAAAAAAAGGTGCCAGTACTCACCATAAAGTGTAAAAAAAAAAGGTGCCAGTACTCACCATAGAGTGTATAAAAAAAAGGTGCCAGTACTCACCATAGAGTATATTAAAAAAAAGGTGCCAGTACTCACCATAGAGTGTGTTAAAAAAAGGTGCCAGTACTCACCATAGAGTGAATTAAAAAAAAGGTACCAGTACTCACCATAGAATATAAAAAAAGGTGCTAGTACTCACCATAGAGTGAATTTAAAAAAAAGGTGCCAGTACTCACCATAGAGTGTAAAAAAAAGGTGCCAGTACTCACCATAGAGTATATAACAAAAGGTGCCAGTACTCACCATAGAGTGTGTTAAAAAAAGGTGCCAGTACTCACCATAGAGTGAATTTAAAAAAAGGTGCCAGTACTCACCATAGAGTGTATATAAAAAAGGTGCTAGTACTCACCATAGAGTGTATAAATAAAGGTGCCAGTACTCACCATAGAGTGTATAAAAAAAGGTGCCAGTACTCACCATAGAGTGTATAAAAAAAAGGTGCCAGTACTCACCATAGAGTGTATAAAAAAAGGTGCCAGTACTCACCATAGAGTGTATAAAAAAAGGTGCCAGTACTCACCATAGAGTGTATAAAAAAAAAGGTGCCAGTACTCACCATAGAGTGTATTAAAAAAGGTGCCAGTACTCACCACAGAGTACCTATTAAAGTAATACTTAAAAAAAATGTCTGACCGCCAGAAAAAAGCTCTGCCCGGGACACTTCCTGATACCTGTGTAAGGCTGGGTAAACCTAGGAGCCTAGGTAAATTATAAATATATACCTATATGGATTTGAACCCATGACTTTTTTGATCAGGTAGGCTTCTAGCCAATGCGCTACTGCAGCTCACATCGAGCTGAGAAGGACTAAATTAAATTATTAGTAGTAGTACATTTTACCCCAGTAGGACATCACACAAACGATAAACACCCGATGACACAAACTGCCACCATGTGGATGAGGATCACCCGATGAGAGGTCCCCGAAACTGCGTTCAGCCATTAGACCATATTTATGGCCGGGCTATATTGCGGCCCTGGCAAGAGCCAGGGTGGGTCTTCAAATTGATGAAAACTTGCATCCCACCAGGGGATGACTAGTAACTGCTAAATTAAAGGATTTTCAGAATTTAAGTTGATCTAAAGGATATTCAGAATTTAAGTTGATCTAAAGGATTTTCAGAATTTAAGTTGATCTAAAGGATTTTCAGAATTTAACTTGATCTAATTTATTGCAGTTCCAGCAAACTGAGCCACCTTATTTAAGTATGATGGGTATGTCTCAACCGGTCTTGCTGGAGCATCAGATCAATGCAATAGCAGCTGCGGCAGCCATGTTGGCTCAAGAGTTGCCTCCCTTCGAACCCAAGCCAATGCCAAAAAAGCAGATCAGCCGAGATATTGCTGTAAGTTAGTTAAGTTCAAGTGCTTGTCATAAAATTGATGTTTTTTTAATGCAGGATTTTTGTGATGTGAAGTGGGATGTATCATTACAGTTTTGAGATCATAAAATGATATTTATGGTGTATGTCGTGAGAAGGAGAAAAGTGGAGTCCATCATGACAGTAAGAAAGTTTGAGGGGAAGAGGGGTAGAGGCAGACGGAGAGAGAAAATGTTGGACGTTTGACGTCATGGCTTAGAGGATTATCTGTGTCAGAGTTGATTGAAAGTACACGAGAGAGACGGTTGTGAATAGACATGACTACAAACGCCACACAGCATGAAAGATCATCTGTGTCAGAGTTGATTGAAAGTACACGAGAGACGGTTGTGAATAGACATGACTACAAACGCCACACAGCATGAAAGATCATCTGTGTCAGAGTTGATTGAAAGTACACGAGAGAGACGGTTGTGAATAGACATGACTACAAACGCCACACAGCATAAAAGATCATCTGTGTCAGAGTTGATTGAAAGTATACGAGACAGAAGGTTGTGGATAGATATGACTACCAATGCCACACAGCACAGACTTTAAGAAGAAGAAGAAATATAGTATAGTTTTTCATAAATTGAAATTTTTTATATCAACAGGAAAATTATCAAAATGTGTAGATAAAGTGTTTTTTCCCCCTTTAAATTCTCCCCCTCTGGGATTGCAGCCTATGAGATTGATATCCATTGACTTGAATAGTTCCCTTATGTATGTGAATACAACAGAAGTAAATCCCAGAAACCCAGTTCAGTCTTATAAAATAGTTATATTGGCATACCCTATAAAGTAAGCTGTTGTCAACTGTGCATGGGTTATGTGCAAGTGTGCATGGGTTATGTGCAAGTGTGCATGGGTTATTGTGCAAGTGTGCAAGGGTTATGTGCAAGTGTGCATGGGTTATGTGCAGATATTTTTTCTGTCTGGATACACTTTGTGATTTCCTGAATTCATTTTCTTCTTCTTTCACTCCCATGAGATAGATTATCTATATCTGCAGTGTTGTCGCTAGTATGAACTTTACTGTATTTTGTAATTCATTCAGCGACCCTTAAAGTTTGGCTTGCACCAGTATTGCCTGAATTGTTTTACTAGTTGTTTCTTTACCTTATTTTACTTGTATATTCCTTTTGTCAGTAAGATCTTGAAAACTTGTGCTGCGTTATTCTTCTTATTCTGCTGCTCATGCCATTAATTGCAGCAGATAGGAGTTAGATGTAGTTTTCTATCTTTTTGTAGTTTCTCTTTCACTACCTCCACCCTTCTCTTTCCTGGGCCTACTGACTTATAGCCTGCTGTTCTCATGTGACACGCTGTAGCTGTCTCTTCTGGGTTTTTTCCCACCACCTTTCTTATACATTTCATCTCACATGTTTGTGTTTATAGGACTGTCTGTGTCTGGCATTAATAGCACAAAGTTAGTGTGAATAACACATTGATACCAACTTTGTACTGTCAGTGCCATACATTTCGTTATTACTGTAAAATATGCAGTACGCACTTGACGAGTATATTGTTTCTTCTGCAGTGGCCCTTAAAAGGGTAGCTGGCATGTTATGAGTGGTTGACGGTTGAGTTCAATGTCTGCACCTTTTAGCCCAGCACATCTGATTTGAGCAGATCCCTAGTTAGTCGCTTTACTGCACCTTGCTGGGAGGGCGGGAGGGGACAGCTGACCACCACACCCCCCCCCCCCCCTCGCCAAATGGGGCTGCGTAATAATCATGGGGAGAAAATACTATTTTAGTCCTCATTATTGAAATTATTGTTTCTTTTATTGCAGAAAGTTATGTTGATGTCCACCGAAGATCCGACCCGAATGGATGCCATGAGACGATACGCTGCCATCTATGGTAGATTTGATTCTAAGCGTAAGAATCACAGACCTATGTCAATGCATGAGGTAATGTGGTAGTTTATCAGTAAACTGGAGATACGAGGGGGCTTCACAAACCTTACATGTTTGATAGAAATTACAGTAGCCCTGCTTTTTTATTGTAACCTGTCAGTACTGTTGTGAAGGATGTCAGGAGTGTTAAACATGTGACATCACAGTGCAGACGAATATGGAGACGTCCTAATTGCAGTTCAGAGATGCAGTCCCTCACCCGCAGACCCCTTTTTCCCATTTTTGGCTTGCCTCGAAAAAGAGCAGTGTTCTGTTATCTGTGTTTTTTGGGGTTTTTGTGTTTTTGTTTTTGTTTAAAGCAATGAAGGGTTGGGACCTATACAATTTTTTTTAAAAACAAATAAGGGCGTTGCTGATTGATGATGATGATGATGGTAATGCATGCCTGTTAGTCCATCAAGTGTATGAGTAGAGCAGGAAGTTTCAGAATGACGTGACTTCTGTGTCAGATTATTCACTACCGGGTGAGGCACACCTTGTAGTGACCCCTGAGTCGATTGCAGTAACCCAAGGACACGTAAGAAAAGCGACATTTGCATCAACATGCAGGACCTTTCTTTGCCAATTAATTTTTTTGTTTTTTGTTTTATTTTTTTTTGGGTAGATTTTATCCCTTCAGTGAGGAGAGTTTATACGAAACTTTGCTATATGGAATGTTCATTTACAAGAAGATGAGCAGTTTGATAAAAACACATACCAGAAAATGAATGGGGAAACCCACTGTAGAAGGTAGACACATTACCTTCGGTAACAAGCATGTCATACAAGCTGACTAGTTAGGGGGTTTTCCTTCAAAGTCAGAGTGCATCTGCCTGAGAGTTGAAAAAGCAACAGTCTGCATACATATAAGCCAGATCTTTAAAACGGATGTAGACACGAAACTCAAGTAATGGAACAAGACTGAAGTCCAGAAGTGGGTGAACAACCCGAACTTCCTTGGGAAACTTACAGCCAATGAAAGCTAAGAGGAAGGATAGAGAAAGATGAGTGAGTGAGTGACACTGTGATCTTACAATGAGCGATAAACGCACAGTGACACAGAGTGCCACCATTTGGATGAGAATAAACCCAGGCACAAGTCCCAGGAACCTTGTTCAGCCATCAGGTTATATTAGGTTTCAAATGAAACAAATTCAACAAACTTTGATGTACTATCTCACATCCAACATTTCACTGAAAATTCAAAGGAAACCTGTTCAAACAAACCTTTTTAAGTATTATCTCACATCCAACATGTCACTGAAAATTCAAGTGAAACATGTTCACACAAACCTTGATGTATTTTTCTCACATCCAACATTTCACTGAAAATTCAAGTGAAACATGTTCAGACAAACCTTGATGTATTTTTCTCACATCCAACATTTCACTGAAAATTCAAGTGAAACGTGTTCAGACAAACCTTGATGTACTATCTCACATCTAGCATTTCACTGAAAATTCAAGTGAAACATGTTCAAACAAACCTTGATGTACTATCTCACATCCAACATTTCACTGAAAATTCAAATGAAACATGTTCAAACAAACCTTGATGTATTATCTCACATCCAACATTTCACTGAAAATTCAAATTAAACGTGTTCAACAAAGTTTGGTGTATTATCTAACCTCCAGCATTTCTATCTAATTTCAGATCTCGGTCAATGAAGCAGCAGCACAACTCTGCAGTCACATCCCTGCTTTGCTGAGCAGACGTGAAGAGTTGTTTCCCCTAGCACGGCAGGTGGTGAGAGACAGCGGCTACCAGTACTCGAAAGGTCACTCGAGGTACGAAGACCAAGGGTAAAGAATTTTTCTTTCTTTTGAAACATTTCTTTTTTTTTTTTTTATTGTTTTTAAAATTAAAAATGCATAGGAACTCGAGACCAATGTAAAGGTCACTCAAGGTGCAAACAATGAGATTAAAGAATTTTTTTTTATTATTATTATAAAGAAACATTTCTAGTTTAAGAACCAAATATGAATGGGAACTGTTGAAATTTGAGGCTGGCAGTATGTGTCTAATTCATTTCAAGATATGGGATTGGGTCGCTGACTTCCACTTGTAGATTCAGCTGGTGAAGTCTTCAAGCTATTTGCCTTGTGCACTGAGGGTTCTGGGTGTGTTTTACAGACAGTGTGGTACGATTCAGATGCATTTTTTACGAAGATCCTTGGGATCGATTCTGGAGCTGCAGAGTTTCTTTTTTGTGTTAGCAGTTCTGTAGAGAGACACCGAGTAGTATGAGGTAGAATCCGGTGCAATAAAGTCGATGATGTCAGCTTTAACTTTTTAACTTGTAGGATCCTGGAGCGTGACCAGACATGGCAGGACTCAGATTGATAAGTCACAATTTGTATGATTTGTGTTTGTGCTCTGTTCAATTGGAATTGGCTGAAATGTGATATGGGAAACCTGGTAGTGTAATGGCCAGGTTCGTTCCAGCCTGAAGATCTTGGGTTGGAATCTTGTCAGAGTTAACTACAAAAGGACCCTGCCTCCCTAGTCAACCTAGCTTAAAATGGGTACCAGGTAATGTCTTGGGCAGTAAAGGGGACTGGCATAATGTTCACCTCATCACCAATTGAGTGCTGATTGGTCTATAAACACATGCTTTATGAAATATAGTCTGTAAAAAAAAAATAGCATCATATACCTCATGCACCACTGTCACGAAAATGGTCTTTTTATCATCATCATTTGCCGTGCCAGTCTGTCATGTTTCACGCGATCACCAGAATCGTGGACCATTCCAGTGTTTTTGTCTCACCTCATCCATTTGGCCAGGCCATCTTTTTGCCTACCTCTTGAAAGGTTTTAAAGCCATGTGGATGTGGGAAGCAGCGGGAAACTACCACACTGTTATCCCAAGAAACTTATCATGGAAGCCAAAAAATAAACTCAAATCTGATGGGGAGGCCCCCAGGCAGGCCGATCACAAACATGAACTAAGGAAGAGAACGTACTACAACAGAAACACTGGGAAAGATCCCCAGAACACCATGGACAAAGATGAAGAGAAATACTGACACTCTTAAAGATTGAACATCAAGGAAGGTTGGCTAGTAAGCAGCATCTTCTTCTGAAAACTGAAACATTTTGGCCACATGAAGGGCCACAGCGGATTGGAAAAAAATATAATAGTAGAAGGTGTGGTGCAGGTGACCAAGCACCATAAAGATTAGCACAGGATATAATTAATACCTTGGGTAGGAAAGTGCCCAAGATGGGAGAGCTGGCAAGAGACCGAGCTTCTTTCAGTCAGACGGTGAGGAGAGTGACTTTCTGCAAAGAAACTGCTACATGGTGGGAGAGCTGGCATAAGACCAAGTTTCTTTCAGTCAGACGGTGAGGAGAGTGACTTTCTGCAAAAAAACTGCTACATGGTGGGAGAGCTGGCAAGAGACCGAGCTTCTTTCAGTCAGACGGTGAGGAGAGTGACTTTCTGCAAAGAAACTGCTACATGGTGGGAGAGCTGGCATAAGACCAAGTTTCTTTCAGTCAGACGGTGAGGAGAGTGACTTTCTGCAAAAAAACTGCTACATGGTGGGAGAGCTGGCAAGAGACCAAGTTTCTTTCAGTCAGACAGTGAGGAGAGTGATTTTCTGCAAAGAAACTGCTACATGGTGGGAGAGCTGGCATAAGACCGAGCTTCTTTCAGTCAGACGGTGAGGAGAGTGACTTTCTGCAAAAAAACTGCTACATGATGGGGGATATATAATTTCCTGATTTTATTTCAGCTGAGTAGATAGAACTTGTATAGATGTATAATAAAAGAGACAATCTACATTCTTTGGTCAAGTAATGAAAAGGAGGAAATTGGAGTACATTTGTGACAATAGGAGAGACAGAGGGAGACCAGAAGAAAAGATGCTGGACAGTTTGACATTATGGCATGGAGGAGCATCTGTATCAGAGTTGATTGATGGTTGTGAATAGACATGACTACCTGCACCACATGGCATAGACTTTGAGAAGAAGGTAAAGAAGTAGACACACAGCTTTTGTTCTTGAGAAGCATGCTAACCACTGCAGCCATGAAAGTATTCATGGCATCGGAAGTAGTACTGTTTGAGTATATTATAGCACCCTCCTCTGATGTGTCTCAACTTTAAAGGGTTAGAAGGGTGTGTGTTTTCTTTTTCTTCGCGTTCACTGGCTGTAAACTCCAGTGGAAAGTTCTGGTAGTTTGTCCACCTCTGGGCGTTAGGTTTGTTCCAGAACCTGAATGCTGTGTGCACACCCGTTTAACAGATCTGACTTCATTGTGTGCAGATTGTTGGTGCCTCTCAGGCATATGCACTCCGACTTTGAAGGAAGCCCCCAATTAGTCGACTCTTACAATATGCTTGTTGGAGAGGCAGTGAGTCTATTCTTGTTTTCCCCACAATGGGGCCCCGGAACCCACACGGTTGGGTTATACTCAGAGCATTCTGGAAATGTTCGCAGGTGCTCAGATTCCCCTTCCGCCTTTCGACATAAAAATCAGCATCCCACCCATGGCTATAAGTGCCAGTCCTGTGTTTGTTAAAAAAAATCTCTCATTAGTCTGGTGTGCCTCTCATGCCTGGTGTCTTCCATCTCTACTCTTAAATCTCTTATTCTTATCAGGGATATGGATGCCCCTAAAATTCCTCTTCTGTCTAAGGGTAATAATAATGTCATAGGGTTTGTTGAGTTGCCAAGGGTAGCATGGTATACTAGTAGAATCTTCCATGTCAGAAAGGTCAAGAGTTAAGGAACCAGGCAAAGAGTCTCTTACTTTTAAACACTCCATAACACACATAAAAATGACACCCAGAATGCAGAATTAAATTAAATGATGTTTATATTTAGATAGCGGCGCCCGTGGCTAAGGCGTTGCGAGTCCGACTCGTAAACCAGCATACCGCGATCGAAACCCCCTGCAGGCTGCGTTTATTTGTGTCGTGGTATGGGACGTCGCAGGTCGACCCAGCCTAAAATGGGCACCAGGATGGGCTGTCCTGGGAAAGTAAAGACAGTCGGCGTAATGCTGACCACATTACCCACCGAGTGCTGATGGTCTGTAAAAATATGGGACGCTCTGCCCATATGCCCGATGTGCCGAAAGGCGTGAAAATGGATCTTTACTTTTTTTTTTCTTTTTACTATATTTAGATTTCATTTTCCTGCCCATGCCCAGCATGTTTCTGTGTTTCAGTAACTCCAGCAACATATTTTAGTAACTTGAAACCACCATGCCGTCGTAGCGGCTAGACACTCAACTGCAAATCTGAAGGTTGTGGGTTCAAACCAGAGCAGGGCTAGAATTAACACCCCAAAAAAAAATAATCCAGCTTAAATTGGGTACCAGGTGAAATTCTGGGAGGTAACGGTAGCCGGCATGATGCTGACCAAATCACCCACCAAGTGCCAATTGGTCAATAGAATATAGATCTAGCCCTATATGCCCATTAAACCTGAAGGTGTTGAAAAAGGTCTTTTACTTTTACTTGTTGGTAATTCAGTGAAAATTGTGTAGATGCATTTCATTAGGAACATTTTCTACTTTTCCCAACCTTCTACATTATTTTCATTTTCCAACATAAACACTGAAGGTTTTTGGAGAAGACAGTTTGCAGAACGCCCTGTGACACTTTGGCAATGACAAATCTCTGGTGGACAGCAGATGGGAAAAAATGACCTAAGGAAACCTGAAGAAAGACAGTAGAAATGGAAATGATGGAGTATGAACTAACATGAGCAGAAAAGAAGCAAACTAGCAGATCGCCTGAAGACCTTATGTGTCAGCTAACATGAAAAGGATATAGATTTGATAAAAAAAATAAGAGGAAAAGAAAAAAAGACAGCTCACCTAAGCATTCACAGCATTCACAACAACAAAAACAACAATTAAAAAAAAAAAAAATACAACCCTACCATAAATCGAACATACATCCCATGATGTGCAAGGTAAACATTCGACCCTCACCATCCTTTCTTTCTAAAGTTGAGTTGAGTCGAGTCAAGAACCGACATCACAGCCCTTGGGGCATTCCCCTAAGCGCTGTATCCCCATCTTCAGCAGCCAGTAAAGAGTTCGGATACTAATGGTGCCAGCAGCATTCTGATTAAACGTCCGTCTTGCTTTTCCTCTGAGCCTCGAGCATCTGCCAGAACCTCTCGTCACTCCCCCCTGCATCTATCTCACCAGACTGTGGTGATCCATCTGCTCCTCCGAACTGTACACGCTTCCCCCCCCCCCCCAGGGACTAACCACATCTGTCTTATCATCCATAAGCATTCCACCAAGTTGTGCAGAGCCAGCCAGTCTGTTTCTTTCTAAAGTATTCTTTGTTAACCATTTGTGTCCCGTTGTACAGGGCTACAGAAATTCTCTTACAACCCAAACAAGAGCAAGGTGAAGCTGTGCCAGCAGCAACATCCATCCTCACATCACCCGTGACTGGAGAGGATTCTTTCAATGATCTCCAGGTTGGTGGAAGTGTGAGGGAGATGGGAAGATATCGTTAACAAATGTTGCAGTCAAATATTTCTGTCATGTTCTTTAGAGATGGCCTTTATGTTATTCTTCCCGTCCTAATTCTTACTATATCTGCGAACTTGTTTTGTCTTTCCACTTCTGTCCTAAAATCTTCATTTTTTTCTTCTTCTTCTCCTTTCATCCTCCTCCTCCTCCTCGTTCTCCACCAGCATTCCTTGAGCCTGATTGCATTGCTGCATATATTACCAGCTTTATTTCATCTGTCTGACTGGTCTTCTGTGTTTGGTTGGTGGTTTTAAGCACTTGTCTCCTTGAAAATTAACCATAAGACATAATGATCTTTTACATTGCTTTTCTTTTTAAAGATAGAATGTTGAATTAAGAATCGACATCACTGCACTCAGGACACTCCCATAAGTACTCAGTCCCTATCTTCAGCAGCAAGCGAAGAGTTCCAATTCCGATGGTACCAGTAACCATCTGATTGTATATCAGTCTCATCCTTCCCCTGAGTGTTGAGCATCGGCCAGATCCCCGGGTAACTCCCCACAGCGCCATTCTCCTTAAACCGTAATGATCTATCTGCGCCTTCGCACTGTTCACTCTCCCCCAAAGAGCTCTCACAATATCAATTCACCTTTTTAAAGTGAGACAAAAGATATAATAAATTGTACACATGATTTTTATTTGCCAAACAATTCTCTGCAAGACAAATACATTTAGTCTGACACCAGCAAATAACTGGGATGCTGGTTTTCTGATCTGTGCAGAAAGAACTGACCCAGATCACTCTGGAGCTAACAGAACTTGCCAAAGAACAGAATCGCATTCGCAGTGCCCTGCGGGTGCTTCTGGAAATGAATGACCATGACCAGATGAAAGCTTTGACGGCTGAAATGGACGATCTTAATGACAGGCAGACAGCAATGATCAAGAGGAGACATCGGATTGTTAACACCATTGCCAAGTAAGCTGCCAGTTGACTATAGTCATGTGAGAGAGAGAGAGAGAGAGAGAATGAATGAACGAAAGAACGAGCAAACTGTTCTCAGACCATGATGAGTCCATCTGTGCCTCTGCACTGTTCTCAGACCATGATGAGTCCATCTGTGCCTCTGCACTGTTCTCAGACCATGATGGTCCATCTGTGCCTCTGCACTGTTCTCAGACCATGATGGTCCATCTGTGCCTCTGCACTGTTCTCAGACCATGATGGTCCATCTGTGCCTTTGTACTGTTCTCAGACCACGATGGTCCATCTGTGCCTTTGTACTGTTCTCAGACCATGATGAGTCCATCTGTGCCTTTGTACTGTTCTCAGACCATGATGAGTCCATCTGTGCCTCTGCACTGTTCTCAGACCATGATGAGTCCATCTGTGCCTCTGCAGTGTTCTCAGACCATGATGGTCCATCTGTGCCTCTGCACTGTTCACTCACCCCCAAAGGACCCTTACAACATCTATCTTATCATGCATAAATACACCATCAAGTTGTGCAGAACCAGCCAGTCTGCTGCCTGTTCATGTCCTAATACACCGGCAGAACCGGAGAAAATATCTAAAGGACACTAACTACTAGGGATCTCTGAAGCGATGCTTGCCAATCTTCACGGAGCATCCAGGTCTTCATCTTTCTCAGCATACTCTGTGAGTCTGTTATAGTTATGACATGTGTGTACAGCTGATTCTCAAGCCAGCAGAAGGGTGCAGTGACTGCCTCCACCTCCATTCTCAAACTAGATGCTGTGGTGTCATATGTGAGGCTTTGCTGCACTAAGCGATGTCCATTCGCTTTTGCTTAGAAGCCCCATGAACTGCATCTGCCTCTCAACACAGAGCTATCGGTATAGACAAGCACATCACCCGGGTGAGAGTTGTCAATAATAATTTGTGCCAGTCCCGGCACTCAGAACCCAGTGTGATTAGAACTTTACACATGTCAGACTTTTGCCAGGTTACTCTGACCCACTCGTGTCCTCGCCCAATCTTATCTAGCCTGCACACATTACTAATTGTGTCTTTAGTTATAAACATTAGTTGAAATCTTCTTCTTCTTCACGTTCACCGGCTGTAAACACCGGCGGAAAGTTCTGGTTGTTTGTCCACTTCTGGACTGCTGTCCTGAACCTGAGTGTTGCGTGCTCATCCGTCTTGACAGATCTGTATGCAGACTGTTGATTCCTTGCCTCTCAGGCAGATGTACTCCGACTTCGAAGGAAGCTCCCAATTAGTCGACTCTTACGACATGCTTTTGGGTAGGCAGTGGGTCTATTCTTGTTTTTCCCATAGTAGGGCTCCTGAACCCACACAGGGCAGTAGTTGAAATAATCTAGAGAAAGTATAATGCCCAAATCATATTTACATTGTTAGTTGTGTCAATATGATTACAGTGCTAGTCTATCTTTATTCATGAAAAGACATATGTATTTTTCTTATTATGTATAAGCTAGTGCATTTATTTCAAGACCGCATTATTTTGCAGGTACCGAAAAGGTGGATCAGACTTTTCTGCAGCAGGCGGTGAGTGGTTCTTATTTGATATTTCTTTAAAAAAAAAAGATTTCATTACCTCAGCTGATTCATTCCTACCAACTTCTTCTTCTGCTTTTACCGGTTAAAAGCTCCAGCTCCAGTTCTGGTTGTTCATCCATCTTCAGACTTTAGTCTTGTTCCAGAACCTGAGTGTTGCATGCACTTCTGTTTTACAAATCTGACTTTTCTGTATGCACTCTTGGTTCCTTGCATTTTGGGCAGATGCACTCCGACGTGCCCCTTATAAGTCGACTCCTACGACATGCTTGTTGGGGAGGCAGGGGGTCTATTCTTGTTTCCCCACAATGGGAGCCCAGGACCCACACAGGGATCCTATAAACTGATCGCAGTGGCTTGAAAAGAAGAATGTTGAATTGAGAATCGACATCACAGCACTCTAGACACCCCCCATAAGCGCTTCATCCCCATCTTCAGCAGCAAATGAAGAGTTGCAATTCCGATGGTACCGGTGACTGCCTGATTGTATAAGCGTCTCGCCTTTCCCCTGAGTGTTGATCGTCTGCCAGATCACCATTCTCCTCAGACCATAATGACCTATCTGGTGCTTCTGCACTTTTTACTCACTCCCAAAGGGCCCTCACAATATCTAGCTTGACACACATCAATTCACCACATAACCTGAAGTAAATTTCCAAAGGACGCTAACTACCTGTGACCTCTTGCCACTCTGCATGGAGCATGCCTGTCTCCACCTTCTTAACACCCTCTGTGAGTCAGTTACAATCACGGCATGTGTGTACAGCTGATTCTCAAGCCAGTGGAAGGCAGCAGTGACTGCCTCCACCTCTATTCTCAAAATAGACGTTGTGATATCATATGCAAGGCTTTGTTGCACTAAGTGAAATCCATGAGGCACCTGGGTGTTACCAGAGGGTCTGGCCGGCTCACTACACTCAGACATATAAGCAGATTGTGACCGGTGCCATCAGATTTGGAATTCAGCGCTGGGAATGCCCTGAGTTCTACGAAGTCAATTCTTTACTCAGCTTAACTCAACTCATCTTAAGCGACATCTATTCACTTTTTTCTATGAACCCCCATGCACTTCATCTGCCTCTCAACCCACAGCCATCTGTTAAGATTTTAAAAGAAGACAGAACAAGAAGAAGTAGCCGGAGAAGTATTAGCATGATTGATTTTACAAAGTTAGACGACATCTTCCCAGCCCTAAAGTGAAAAACTGTTTTTCTTAGCGTCTTAGTGTTTACCCGCTGTAAACTCTGGGAGAAAGTCCTGGTTGCTCATCTACTTCTGGACTTTAATTTTTGTTCTAGAACATGAGTTTTGCATGAGCAACTGTTTTACAGATCTGGATTATTTTTTTGCAGACTGTTGGTTCCTCACCTCTAAGGCAGATGCACCTCTGATTAGTCACCTTTTATAACATGCTTTTTTTTTCTTCTTGGGGGGGGGGGGGGGGGGGGGGGGGCATTTGTTCCCCCCCCCCCACCACACACATACACAAAATGGAGCCCTAGATCATCCAAAAAAGGTGCTTTCTTAATATTCTACCTCAAATGGGTGAAATCCACAGGTCACAGAACAGTCTAATATTTCAGGCTTTGGTAGATAGGCTGCATGCAGTCATGGGACCTATGCTGCACTCTCTCATGGGACGTAGGTGGGTTGGGGTTGGGGCCAGTTCTAGATGTTTTAGGGTCGCTAAAAGCATCATAAAGCCTGGAAAGCCAGTCTTACCACTCTCTAAAAGGTTGGACTGTCCTGTGACGTCAATCGGGGGTAGGATATTTTGAAGTAATTACAGGTAGTTAAGACAATAAACTAAGGTTATTTAAAAAAAAAATTGTTAAATATAGATTATGTTTATCTTCAGGTACTGGGAACAAAATATCACCAAAGAATTCTCCGTTACATGGTGTGCCTTTAGCCAAACCTGGCAATAAATACAGCAGCAGTTTCTATGGTTACAGTGATGAGCCGCTGGCTTCCTCCAATCCACTGAACACTCTCTACATGGCAGCGGTTCAGAATCACAAAGATTCTCTGTTTGAGGAGGGATTACGTATCGCCACACAATACGGCATGGCTGACTTTGCACAGGAACTCATCGGCATGAAGTCAACAAAGGAGGAGGGCGAGAATAAAAAGGATTCTGGGGTTAGTCTGTCGTCAGGAAGTAACTCTGCCTTTAGTTGTTATTCCTCACCTGTGTCTGGAGAAGCTGTGACCTCCTCCTCCTCCTCCTTAGCCATGTCAGGAAATGGGAAATTCATGCAGCTGATGCCGTCGTCTTCGGTATCACTGTCACCATATACAGATTCTGATATTGGTGTCATTCATACGTCTCGTCCTTTAAGTCATTCATCATTGCCTGGACAAATCAAATTGGTGTCTGACAAAAAAGGATATTACATGCACAGTGATAAAAATCTGGCAGTCGGCCTTTCTTCCTTTGAAGCATCTTGTGTTAGCAATGATGAGTCAACAGACGGCTCCTGTTTGGAGGAAAACTGTGCTGCGACAAAATCAAGTAGCAAACACAACATTCCTGATGAGAATTCTGTTGCACAGGGCAGCACCACTACCACAACAACTATCACAACGAAGTCTGGCCAGGTAATTGAAGTAGAGACACGAAGGTCGAGCAGACGGAAAACTGGAGAGCCAGATTATTATTTAATTAATGGGGGAGAGAAGCGTTTCCGAAGTGGAAGCATTAGAAGAAGCAGCAGCACTTCAAGTGAGCGCACTAGAAGATTGTCCTCCTCCTCATCAGCATCATCATCATTAACACCAGCAGCAACTTCACCTCATAAGAGCCACAAATTGAGCTGTATACTTAATGAAGATGTATCACACATTCTAGAGGCTCACCAAAACAGCAAAGCTGAAGACTATGAAATGACTCCAGAAATGGCGGCAGCAGGTGATGAAAGCCATAGCATTAAAACAGACACTGGGGTAGATGGAGTTGACGAGCTGCAATATGATAGCCATGAATCAGACAGCCATATTGTAAGAAGGAAAGGGAAGGCATTTTCAGTAACAGGACAGAGGTTACAGGGTCAGACAAGAGATTACAGTTAGTGGTTCCTACGTGTTGGAGTGTTTCTGTTTCTGTATCATTTTTTCTTGATTGACCGGTAATATTGTGATAATGTTCAGATGCTGAGCAAGCATGCAGATTTTTTGTTTAAAACAACAGAGTGCAGTAACCTCTGTTACATGTAATGAACTCTTGATGTGTGAATTGTGTTAGCATAGTCGCTAACCCACTTACATTCTACCTTGGTGGTCAAAAGTTTGAGTCTCCTTTGGGACATTTGATGAATTGGCCTGGGTTCGCATTTTGATCCAGGCTAAAAGGGTTTTAAGGAAATGTCCTGTTAAATAAAGATGACTAGTGGCATATTGACTACATCACCCTCAAATGCTGATTGGTCTGTAATCCAGGTGTGGGTTCTGGAGTCCCATTCGAAGAGGATGGGGTGGGGGGAATAGAATGAATAGACATACCTTTCTCTCCCAGCAAGCATGTCATAAAAGGCAAATGAATTCAAGAGGTTTCCAGAAATAAGAGACATGTTTGGGCAGCGGCTGTTTTCAGTAGGTGTAAGAAATTGAAGATGGCGCTATATTGGACACTTCCTGAGAAGAGACCAGCGAATCAATAAACAGGCACTGAAATGAGAAATAAAGGGACTGAGTAATCGAGAACGTCCAAATAACACCCTGAAACAAATATTGATGAGAGAGGCAAACAGTACTGGACTGGATTCAGTCTGTGATTATGAAAGGTTTGCACAGGATTTGACGTAATGAAGGAATAGACTGTGAGCCCTATATGACACATTTTGGCATAACAGGATGATGATGATGAATTAGATATTTGCTAAAATCAGGAATGTGGGGTGGAAAGAAGCAGATATCACAGCCTAGCTGTAAAACACAACATGCTGTGCCCTCACCCTTTCAAGACTAAACACAGAAGAAAATGATTCATGTATAAGCATTTAACACTGGCATTATATTATTAAATTCTACTACTGCTTCCCTGAAATACCAGCTTTTCCATGTATAGGACAATATGTTTTCCCAAAATGTGTTAGGTTTTAATTAGGGGGCTGTTTTAATCATGAAATGTGATTACAATATTCATTTCCTAAGTTTGGGCTGGGGAAAAAAATTGAAGTCATCCTACACTCAGAAGAAATACAGTGTTTAGAGACTTCAAAACTTGAAGTAATTAGTCAGACCAGTTGGGTAAGGCACAATCATCATGTAGCAGGTCCTTTGCAGGACATCCCTCTTATCATGGTGTGTCTGAAAGAAATTTGGTCTGTCGCCAGCCTCTCCCGCCTCATGTATTTTCGTATTTGAGGAGTCAGTTGTATCCTGTGCTCATCTTCGTGTTGGTTGGCCCCTGCCTCTTCTTCTTGGTACCGTGTCTTCTGCTTTTATTTTTTCCAGTCTGCCATGGCGTTTAATATGACCAAAATATTTCAGCTTCAGAGACAAGATGCTGTTTATTAGCCAATCTTCCTTGTTGTTCAGATCTTTTAAAATGTCAGTATTTCTTCTCTTCTTTGCCCATAGTATTCTGAGAATATTTCTATAGCATTTCAGCTCTAAAGCCCCTGTTTTCTTTCTTAAGGACTGGGAGATAGGCCACAGGTTAAACACCAACCTGTAGAAATGTAATGTACACAATTCAGTGAAAAATACAAATTCCTTAAGATTTTTGTAAAATGTCACTTCCACCATGGCAGCAGGAGAGTCACTTGGTCTCTTGTCAACTTTCCTGTCATATCAGTTTTCTTAATCAGAGTGTCCTTAATATGCTGTATACACCATTGTGCTTGTCAACTCCTGCCTCTTTTCACCACCCCAGCCTTCAAACCATACGTTCCATATACAAAATATAAACAACTTCATAATTTGCAACAAGCAGTTATTCTGTGATTAATTTGCAACTCATTATTTCGGGTGTTTCACCCAGGGAAAAACCAAGTATTTTGTTCATAACTCAGACACTAATAAAGATATGGCAATGAAATTTGGAGTGGACTTACCTCCATTCATGTGAAGTCAGGTGACATCATAACAGGTGCTGGAAATGGCTACCATTGGCGTCCAGCCAGCACTGGACGTAGCGATCCATGTTGTGGAAAGTCTGTCTCAGTACATCAGGTGTCACTGCTTGGATGACCGCACTGATGTTTGCTTTCAAGACCTCTGTTGTTCATAGTTTGTTGGAATAAACCTGCGACTTTGCATGAACGCCGGTAACTCCACTCCAAATTTCATTGCCATATCCTTATTAGTGTCAGATTTATTAATGAAATACTGGGTTCCACCCTGAGTGAAATGAGAGGGAAAGTAACAGTTAAAATAAAGTGGGTTTATGTAAAGAATCAGTACAATAGAGTGGGTGTATGTAAAGAAACAATTGCAGTAGAGTGAGTTTATGTAAACGTGACATTTGACATTTTGGTGGGAGAATTTGATATTTAGATTTTTTAATACTGGTAGAGTTTAAAATCATTTGATTTGCATGATGCTGGTGAAATTTACCACTTGAATTTCATACTGTTGGGTGGATTTGATACCGTTGTTGGAGTATAAGTTTTGATGCTGTTTGGTGGAATGTGATAATAGCGGTTGGTGGTATTTAAATACTAACCTCTGCCATTTTTGCATCTTAGCTTTTGAATGGAATTTGGAATCTGACTGATGGCATTTGAGGGGAAGACATTGTTATTGTGTTTTTCTGTATTTTTGTTTGTGTATTACTGTGTGTCTGACTGCTCGTCAGCTGGACTAAAGGTTTAGAGATCTACTATATAGGTAAGTTGCGTATCCTTTACAAAACGTTGCAGAACCAACCCCAACAGCCCTTGGCTGTTGTGTGGTTTTTCTAGGCAAATTTAAGTCCAGTAGTTTGCCATTTCTTTCTGGACAGTCGGCTCTCTTGATACTACTGTCGAAACCAATGCAAGGCGCATGGCCCGCAGCTGGGATCGAACCTGGTATCCCGGCATTACGAAGCGTTCGCATCAACTTAGCCACAGAGCCAACTTTAGAGATCTACACCGGTGGAAAAAAGGGAACTAGAATACACAAGCCCCTCTGCCTGTGCATGGCAGAGACACATCAGAAGAGGGTTGAGTGTATGATTGTATGGGTATGCTGCTTGATTATTTGATTGCGTATTTATCTGTATGTCTGTGCATGATTTGTATTAGAAGTGCAGTTTATCAATGTGTGGTTGTGTAATTATTTTTGCATTTTGCTTTAAGTTTAACCCTTTTAACCCCATACAAATGTTTAAAAAAAATTTCTTTATGCATCCTTATAATTCTCTTAAATTCTGATTTCATAAACTAGAAGAAGAAGCAACAGAAGAAATTATAGGTTTGGGGCAATTTTTTTTCTCAAATAAAAGTCCAGGGAATCAAACCCCTAGCCACAAAGCAGACAGGCAGGCATAAAGTCCTCTACTTCTTTTATGATGTCATGTCACTATAACAAATAAATTTTTTTTTTTAAATCTCCAGACACTGAATGTCTTCTTTTTCTTCTTCTTAGGATCCTTTTCCACACCTTCAGGCAGATTGGGCATGTAGGGCTAGACCTATATTTTATAGACTAGTCAGCACTAAGGCTGAGTCGTTCTTGGAGCCACGGTCATTTCTAAAAAAAAAAAGGCAGGCTAAGTTCAGATTTGAACCCATGATTTTTGGATCTGCAGATAAGCTACACCACAGACTGAATGTCTAATTTACGAAATGGTTCGTTTCTACATGGAAGAAAGTAATTCGTAGATGCAAATGGAGCAAAGAATTAACTGAATTTTTTCCTTTTAACCATCTAGAAGTAGTTTTGGTCACTATTTCACAAAGAACAGTGTGAGACAATTGTATGACATCATAGAGATATCAACATTTCGATCATGGAGATATCAACATTTCGATCATGGAGATATCAACATTTTGAGAAATCCTTTTTTTTTTCCAACTACAATTATCTAAACAAAAATACTTTTCTGGTAAATATAATCATACCCAACGTGTCTACACATTGTCCTGTTGCAACATGCACCAGAACTGTTACACAGGCATTGTGACCACTGCTGAAAGACATCAAGCCACCAACAACAACAAAACACGACAAGCCTAGATTTCGGCATTTGCGACGGGTTTAATTGTATGTTTCATTTGTGTGTGTGTATGTTATCTATATTCTTCTTCTTCTTTGCGTTCACCAGCTGTACATTCTGGCGTAAAGTTCTGGTTGTTCGTCCACTTCTGGACTGCAGTCCTGCTCCAGAACCTGGGTGTTGCATGTGCATCAGTTTTACAGATCTGATTCTATTGAATGCAGACTGCTGGTTCCTTGCCTCTCAGGCAGATGCACTTCGACTTCAAAGGAAGCTCCCCAGTTAGTCGACTCTTACGACATGCTTTTGGGGAGGCAGTGGGTCTATTCTTGTTTTCCCCACAATAGGGCCCCGGAACCCACAGGGGGGATCTATATTTAAGCACATTATTCTGTTGGTAGCATATATAGTTATGTGTTTATACATCTTCTTTTCTCTCTCTTCTGATTTGTATATCAAAATGGAGCACTGTACCTCAACCAACTCAAAATATGTCCTTTGCTATTGCATGCGGCTCACCACATGTTCTCTGCATCTGTTTAACTTCATTCTGTAACTTCCTTCTCTGTGTTATTGTTGTTGATTGATTCAGCAATTCATTGGTTTAACTAGAATCATTGTCACTTATTGTTGATTGATTAAAAGTAGTTTAAAACAAAAGTAAAGGACACTTCTCCACACCTTCACGCATATTAGGCACATAGGGCAAGACTTATATTTTATAGACCAGGCAGCACTCGGTGGTGGATGTGGTCAACATCACCACGTGATTGATTGATTAACTCAAATCTGTGCTACTCATGATTTATTGTTCAGTTAACTATAATCAGCAATGTTCATCAATGATTGATGGAATAATTAGAATTGATGGTGCTTTATTAATATCTGACCCCAAACAGGGGAATTACACAGGTCACGGGACAGTCTA